GAGGGGAAGTGGAACAATTAATGAAATGCAGCTTCCGTCCCTTGCTTTACACACCTGGTCCCACTTCTCTCATCAGCCCTGCAATAACCTGACTTTCCCTGCTCACCTGTTTTCTCTTTCCCTCGTCAGCCTGTTGCAGCCCTTTCCCACTCACTCCTGATTGCCAGATTGTCCTCTGTTGCTCGGTTATATCCTGCCATATTGATTTCTGTTGCCTGTTGCTTTGAACCCTGTCACTTGTACCTGCTTGCCCTTCTGGCTGATTATTTGGACTTCTGGTCCATGCATGCTCCTTGTTGGATTAATTAGCTTGTTCTTGACTGCCTCTCTGGCTTTGACTCTTGTCTGCCTGATGGTCCTGTAAGCCTTTGACATTATTTTATAATAAATCATTAAACTGCAATTGCCTCTTGTCATCTGCATTTGGGTCCAACCCCTGGTGCAGCACTCATACCAGCCGTGACAGAAACTTCTATGTAACTTTTCACTTTAACTTGCTAAAACTGTATTCACTTTACAGTCACTATTTAACTCCGCAAGCTCTATTTTCCAGTGAAATAAGCAAAAGTACACAATCAGAACAAGCCTAGACAATATAAAATAATCTGATTCACCTGAATCAAGAAGAAGTCCTGAGCTGTTTTCTGTAACCTTTTAAGTCCTATAATAGCTTCCTAATTTTTTATTTATATTTATTTTGGTACTAATTATAAGGAAGCAGAGGCAATGATCTAAGACAACACTAATAAAAAAAAAAGTAAATACCCACTTACTCATGAGTTTTTAAGAGAATCTGATATGTTAAAAATGATTCATCCATCCACAGGAATTTCCTTGAAAGAACAAACATAAAAATATAGATTTACTTTACTTGTTGACATAATCTACAACTAAGAAAATGCCTTTTTTTAAATGTAAACACTAACTCCACCTTCCCTTAGTAGCAATTTGAGAGATTAGTCATTTGCAGGAAACCCTTCCCAAGAATTGGTTTCATTTTCTAGAAAATGACTAGGAGACAATGGGAACTGAAAAACAAAAGCATTAACCTGTTGGTATTCTTCTCGTGATACTACCCTGTTGGTACTCTACTCATTTGTCTCAAATGCATGTCAACAAAATGTTTAACAATTTGTAATACAAAAACATTACACTTGTATTATTACTGCATGTGCTCTGTCTTGTCTTAAAGCCTTATAACTCTGTGCTGTTTCATTCACTTACAGTAATAAAATTACATTAAACTGAGGAAGCCTGTGGCTGCACAGCAGGCGCTTCCTGCTAATTTGTCTTTGGCATTAACTCTGGAAGAAAGAAAAGAGTGTGAAACTCCCTTGCAGGGTTAATACTTCCTGCAGGCAGGGATGTCTTCACTCTATAATTGTATCACTTAAAGGGGATAAAGTATAACCTTTTGTTATTTCCTTTTACAAAAAAGCTTTTTGTTTTTTGAAGTTGTTACTGTACCGCCAGCTGGTACTACTGATTTACATTTTGACAATGGTGCAATGTAACACTATAAATACATTAACGATTAATCGATTAGTAGACTGAAAATCAGTGACACATGAGCTGCCTCCAGTGGTGCACGGTGGAATCTTTAATTTGGTTTAAAAAATGAAATAAATTAATTAAAAAACATATACTGTAAAAATACTACAACTTTAAAATGAAAACAGTCAAACTATGAGATCATTGAACTGTAAGTTTAGCATTTCCTGTAATATTTTGTTTCCATATCAGCCTCCTATGGAGTCACATTCATGAACGTAGCGTGTGCATACATCCATGATTAGTTACGAGCTAAAATGTGATGGCAGGTTAGTAAGCGGAGATGAAATGAAAGGTCGAAAACACTCCAAACGGGGACCATTGGGAAAGTGTGGTTCAGGAGAACCCCCTTTTCGACCAAATGAGTTCTGGTTCTTGAACCGGTTCCAATCAACATTCAACAACAGTCAACAATAAATAATCTTATTAGGAATAAAATTGCCTCTTGTGTGAACTGTCCATAACTGAATATGGCCTACGCCTACGCTGCTGTATTTGAACGTCCGTCATAATGATGGTACTTAGAGAGCCAAATATTTTCTGAGGTGGTACATGCTGTAAAAAGTTTGAGAAACACTGATCTAATTATATATATATATATATATATATATATATATATATATATATATATATATATATATTTTTATATATATATATATATATATATATATATATATATATATATATATATATATATAATAGTGATATTATGGCTGTTTCTGGTTAAACTGTCTCTGTAGGGATTCTTTCCATAATGTTTTCAGACACTTAGTATAACAATATGAGCCTGTCAGTTGTAAAAACAAGCACTTTTTTAAAGACATAAGGCACTCATTTATTATATTTCTGTCCCATCGTTTTGGTCTGATGCGACTGCTCTAGAGCGATATCCAGTGCCATTTCATACATAAAACGTTCAAGTAAAGGATTTCAATTTCAATTCAATTTCAATTTTATTTGTATAGCGCCAATTCATAACAGAAGTTATCTCAGGACACTTTTCAAATAGAGCAGGTCTAGACCGAACTCTTTAAAACATTAATTACAGAGACCCAACAGTACCACCATGAGCAAGGGCAAGGAAAAACTGCCTGTTAAAAGGCAGAAACCTAGGACAGATCCTTCGGCTCTAGGTGGGTGGTCATCTGTCTCGACCAGTTGGGGTGAGAGAGAGAGACAGAGAGAGAGACAGAGAGAGAGAGAGAGCGAGAGACAGAGAGACAGACAGGTGCACAGTAACAACAGTATTGGCAATGGCAATCTAGCAGGACCATGGCAGGAGGCTCCACCAGGATCGACAAGAACCTGCGAGACGAGAAAGCACAAGAACTCTGGGGAAGAAGTGAAGTTAGTAACATGAATTAATGGGACATGAATGAGTGCATAAAGAGAGAGGAAGGGAGGAGCTCAGTGTATCATGGGAAATCCCCCGATAGTCTAGGCCTATAGCAGAATAACTAAGGGATGGTTCAGGACTCACCTGAGCCAACCCTAACTATAAGCTTTATCAAAGAGGAATGTCTTAAGCCTACTCTTGAATGTGGAGAGGGTGTCTGCCTCCCGAACCACAACTGGAAGCTGGTTCCACAGGAGAGGAGCTTGGTAACTGAAGGCTCTGGCTCCTGTTCTACTTTTAGAGACTATAGGAACCACAAGTAGCCCAGCATTCAGAGAACGTAGTGTTCTAGAGGGGTAATAGGGTACTATGAGCTCTTTAAGATATGAAGGGGCCTGACCATGAAGAGCTTTATAGGTGAGGAGGAGGATTTTAAATTCTATTCTACATTTTACAGGGAGCCAGTGCAGAGAAGCTAGTACAGGAGAGATGTGATCTCTTTTTCTAGTTCCTGTCAGTACTCGTGCTGCAGCGTTCTGAATTAATTGGAGCGTTTTAATGGACTTATTGGGGCAACCTGATAATAAAGAGTTGCAGTAATCCAGCCTTGAAGTAACAAATGCATGGATTAGTTTTTCTGCATCTGTCTGTGATAGTATGTGTCTAATTTTTGTAATATTACGTAAATGAAAGGATCTGAATACTTCCTCCACTGCTGCATTTTGAGTTGAGTCACAATAAACTGTTTCTCAAAATCACTATGCCTCTGGAATAGAGCAACTCAAAAACATAAAAAATATTATTTTTGCTTTCACTCTCTCAATTTTCATGTATGTGTTGTCCTCTGTAAATGTGAGTCTATGAAAAGAAAGCCAGGTCACTCAGTACTCACCTATTGGGACCACAATGTCCTTCAACATAGCAACAGTTTGTGCTCTAATTTAAATGTAAATGTTACCCTGACATAAAGACAATGAGAGAGATTGAGTGATGGAAATCAGCCTCAAATTAAGTTATTTATAGAGTATCCTTGTTGTTACTAAAATTCACAGTACCTTGCTCTGCACCTGTGGGGACCAACAAACCAGTGCTCACTGTTTCAAACACCAATAATGTTCCCAGAAGGTTTTGTGAGTTAGTGCCCAGTTGAAAAATATCATAGTTACCTGTTACCAGGGGAACGCCTGCACACTGACTCCAAACCACAACATTATTCATTTCATTTGACAACATTCCAAGTCGGATCTTATTTAAGTGAAAAAGGTCAAAGGTAATTTCTGATCCAACGGATATGCTCTTTCTTATATCTGGGCTTCTGAAACAAGTTCACGGCACAAGCTTACCCAGTGACCTTAAATTTAAGCTGAAACTATTAGCTGATTAATTGATTAGTTGACCAAAGAGTAAGTAGTTAATATTGTGATAATCAATTAAAAGTTAAAATAGTTTTCAAGCAAAAAAGGCTAAATTTAAAGGTTAAAATATGAAGACTTGATGCTTTTCTGTGTTACATTAGTGCATAATAAACTTAAATATTTTGTACTTGGATGAACAAAACAAGATATTGGGAAATTCTGGGATACTGCGATTTTTTTTTTTTTTTTTGAGGCTTTATAGGCCAAATAATTGATTGATGAGTTAAGTGGTTAGTATAGTAGTAGTTAGTAGTAAATGACCATACAAATAATTTAGTATTTAGTAAAGTATTGTCTCAAAAAACTGTATTAAGAATAATTTCAGTTTTTTCTACAGATGTCTGAGTTTAGGAAAATCGAGAAGTTATTATTTTACTTGATCAGGATTTAAACCGCTGACAGTCATAATAAGCCACTTCTCATACAGTAGGCCTACTGACATCATCAGCCTTCTGTAGACTAGCACAGTCGCTGTGACCGAGGATATAAAAACACTGGCCATGCCACTGAAATTAAGAAAAACTGCAGTGTGATATAAATTTCTTTACAGATTCTATATGTAAAGATTGTCTAACCTCAGACTAAGGACAAGCTCTGAAACATGGTCCGCTTATAAGGAGGATCCTAAACTGTTATAATAGAGACTGCCCACATTACTAACATATAATACACTGAAATGCAATAAAACAATAACAATGTTCTTTTTGCTGTGGCACCAGTTTTACTTTGTAACACACACACCTCAGCAAAACTCAAATGTTTACTTCTAAGTAATCAGATGTTTTATACAGCTTCCTTCTGTGGATTCTAACCTCAGTTCAACCTCAAGGACTTCTGCAACATGTGTTATAATTTAATTAGTATAATCCTTGTGTCATTCATGTGAGGACTCTGAGCTCTTAATTAATAAAAAATCCTTTTAGTAACTCCAATAGGAGTGACAGACAAAAAATAAATCCATCACATTACTTGACATCTGTGAGCCCTTCGGAAAGGTATTTAACGTGTGTACATGCTGCATATGTTGCACATCCTCTGGCTCAAGTGACTCAAAGAGAGACATACAAGGGTCATATAAGGGTCATTACATAGTCATCTGTGAAGAGACTCCAGAATAGCTGCCAATTACAGAAAACCACAGTGATTCCTACAGAGGGAAGAAGAAAATAAATGAAGAAACCTTAGCTCTAGGTCTAGTTAAAGTCCTGCAACATGACAGATGAACGTGTAATGTGTTAAGAGGCTGGATTTGAATCAGAAGACTTTAACTATATAAAACAAACAAACAGACTTTTTGCATTGAAAAAGCTATTTAAGCTCTGGACAAACTGTACGCACCAAACAACCTCAGAAACAAGTGTCTTTCATTCTTCCACTTCTGATTTTCAAGAATCAATAATTATTAACTGATTGTTATGATGCTTCAGTAGGAAGCACGCATTACCTTGAGACACATAAACATTAACACAGCTCATAACATAGGTACCACATTTACACAGTCTTCTACCATCTCAAACAGGAAGTGATGTGGGCCACTACGTCGGGCCACCTCACTGGCCGTCTCTCCGCTGTTGCTGCGAAGCCCTGGCTTCAGGAATCGCTGGGAGAGGAGGAGCTCTAGTGTGTGAGCAGAGTCTGTTCTTATGGAGCTGGAGTGGGAAGCAGCCAGGTGTAGTGCCGTGAGCCCACCGTTGGTCTGGGCATTCAGTTCAGCTCCGTGTCGCAGGAGAAGACTCGCCACAGTGACACGGCTCCAGCGGCAGGCGCTGTGGAGGGGCGTCCAGCCGTCGATGGTACGAGGGTTAATCTTCGACCCGGCGGCGAGTAAAGCAGAAACCACGTCGACGTGGCCGCTGTATGCCGCACGGTGCAGTGGAGTGTAACCGTCCTCATCGCAGCAGTGCACCAGCAAGGGATCAGCGGTTAACAACCTGTGGAAGGTTGCAAGCTGAAAGAAAAACACAAAAATACTGAAGGTCAGCAAGTATTGTCCGGTGTAAATACATATTCCGCAAGGGCTTATTAGTTACTGCTGAATGTAGAAAGTACTCTGCATTGTATGCCAACACTTAAAGGGGTACTCAAGCAGTACTGCATTTCCATTAAGTTGGATTTTTTCTTAAGTTGTCAAAATGAGGCAGCAGAACTTGACAGGTGCTGAATGTTTGTCCCTAGTATGAGTCAAACTTCAAAAATACTGCTCACTAATTTCCCATAATACAACTGAACAGCTTCATTCATTCAACCTTCCCTGACTGGTACATACCCGTTTTTCAAACTTGGCATCACCAGCTTACAATTTAGGGTTTCTGTCATAAATATGTAACCCAAACGAAACTGATGTCCTCAGACTCGACAAAGCTCCCTCCAGAGCTCCAAATAACTGTTTTCACAGGTTGAGTGCCAATTTAAAAGCCATGAAAAGATGAAATAAACGTTTACAACAGCGTCTCCACCGCCTGCTACTGTTTGATTATCAGCTGACAGAGAGTGACTTCCAAACTTGCCACCTCATACATCGTCTGCGCTCCCTTTCCTCGCCCCTAGCCACTGCATAACAGGCAGCATGGCTGCGTGACCAAATGGAGCGCGGGCTACCGGCGCACTCTCAAGGAAGCACATGCACGCAGTGGGCATGTGTGGGATGCAAAACAGTTTTCGGCTGACTGCAGTGGGCAGTAATGTATATCAACAGGTGGTGATGCTAATGCACCATAAGGGAGCATTGCACCAATAAAAGAGGAGAGAGACGACTGCAAGCCGACATTCACAATACAGGTTTAAAATAAGCTTCTGTTTATGAAGGGAGGAAATATATTCAACATATTGGTACTGCAGGGTTTCATAACATAAATAATTAATCTTGGTGAGAAAGTTCTAAGAGTACAGCAAAGTACACGTCAGTTGAGGAGACACTTCCACCCTTCAAAGCCACACAAAATACAAGCAAAGTAAAGCACAATAGTTCAGCACCGCCGAACGTACAAAAAAAACACGAGCCATCTAATCAGTACGGAAGACACAAGTGGACACACCAAAAACAATCACAAATCACAGACTGACACAAATACAGTACAGAACCAAACAACACAAGGCTGTTAGACACAACTACTCAAATCACAAAAAATATTCACAAAAAGGAAAGAGATGAACAAATCTGAATAATTGCCAGTGCAATTAATTTGTTCAATTAATGCTTTGTGTGTTGAGGAAAACTGTTACATAGCAACAGAGTTATTATGTACATGATGAACTGTGATCAATCTCACTGCTTTTCCAATCTTCACTTTAATTTCTGCATCAACAACTAAATGTTGACTGCTGCGAGGCACGGCGTTATACTGTGTGTAAAAGTGTAGTAGTGTTTTGTTTCCGGCTTATTCCGGCATTGTTTGCTGCTATATTAATGTTTAAATCTCATATATGCACGTAAAGGTTTTACCAAAAAGTTCAAACTTTATTTAGATGTAATAGCACTACATGAGATTCTTTGAAATTTGTTCTTAGGTGTTCACAAAATTGGGTCAATATTCTTATTGTGAAAAATTAGAGATGCAATACAGAATTTCTGCTGTGCACAAAAGCAGCTTTTGTTGCAGCTTTCTAAATCATTCTTATTTATTATTATTATTATTATTATTATTATTATTTTACACCTTCATTGGACAGCAACAGTTGAAGAGAGACAGGAGAGGTGAAGGAGAGAGAGGGGCTACTGCAGTAAGGACTCAGCCTCTGTACATGGGTTGCATTGTATTACTGCTTTCTTATTGTAACTCTTACATTAAATCTTAAAAACCAAAGACAACAGGCACATTAGACAGCAAGAAACATTTCAATTTATTCATAATTTGTTTGTTTGAAACTAATCATTACTAAGGCAAAATGTGTTTTACTGCTTTTGTCATTTTGATTTCTCAACACAAGAAAAAACTCCTTTCAAAAAGAAAATCTGGACAAAAGCATCTAAGACAAAAACAAATGCGCAACTGCTGCGATTCACCAGACTCCATTAACAAAAACATAAATTTTACCTCCCAGTTCATAAAACACTTCAAACTCACCAAAATTGTCCTTTGTAGTCTTTCTATTGTTCTGACAACAATCACCAGCTCTGGTTTGGTTGAAATTAACCCTTAAATTCACAGAGGTAGATGAAAAAATAGGTGCTAAACTGAGAAGTCATGACAGCATGTTTTACCACCTGGCTCTTTCTTCTCCAAAAAATCTGCTACATGATAGCATTCAGAGTTACAACGATTAGTCAATTAGTCAGTCGACAGAACAGTCAGTAAAAAAACAGTCTCTACTTACAGCTGCTCCACTGTGATAACTTGCTGCTTGTTATTGAATCTTTTGGTTTTTGATTGTGGTTCAGAAGAAGAAGAAAAAAAAAGAGATTTTAACATGACACACTGGGCTCTGTGAATTTTATCACCCAGCACTAATGTGCAAGTTCTTTTAATCAAATTAGCCCAAGATAGATGGAAAGCGTGTGCTTTCAACTTATTGGTTAATGTTTTGTCTTTGATAAAAATCTGGGATCTGTCTGTTCAGCAACATTTAATAAATAATCCCCAACATAAAGCCCACTTGATGGAGCAATGGTGCACACTTTATGCCTTTATCAGCATTCATAGCAGCAGTCTCTCACAGACACATCTGTTAGGCTCCAATGATTCTTCATTAAATGTGATAAACTAATAACATCAAAAGGGAGGCAGGCAAACAACATCCAAGTTACTGACAGTACTGAATATTAACTGAATGCTATTAAGTTACTCAAACAGTTTTGGAAAATGTTTGTTGGGGTAAGGGAGGGAGGGAGGGAGGGGTGAGAAGACACGTACAGTGATCAATCATTTTATCCATGTTGTCCACTCCTACTTTCTATCTTTTGCTTAATCTGTAACTGCCTCGTCTGTCTCTATGTCAGGTGTACAGAAAAATCCTGCTTCACAACTTCCTGTTGCTATTTGTCCAATCGTACTAGGGCTGCAAATAATGTTATTCTTCTGGTTGATTAATATACTGACTTTATTTATTCTTATTTACCATTTTACTTTAAAGAACGTGATTAAAAACCATGACCCAGAGACCAATTGCTCTTAAAGTGGCAGTGGTAGTTTTTTCTAATTGGTAGCTTTTTGTGGCACAAGAAAATAATGTAAATTTAACATGGTTGGTTTCTTAATTAACATGCTCTGCTGCACGCTGACAATATTTATGTGTGATGTTTCACGCTCAGATATGAAATAATTGTTCAGTGACCTGTTGATTTCTCATGGACAGCAAACTGCCATCGCACTAAAAGGTGAAAGACCTAATTACGGTAATCATTTACTCTGCTTAAGTGCTCACTAATTGGTCACTAATTGCATGCCTTTAAATCTGACCCCCTTGAATAAATATTCTCTCTCAGTTAAAACCAGCTTCCTCCACTGGTGAATTTAGCTCTATAATTGTTTTTTTTTTCTTCTCAACCATTAGACCAACTTCTTTCTTGACATGGCAGCTCAGTGGTTAGCGCCATTAGAAACAGAACCTCCTGAATTTAAACAGTATTAGCGCTGAAGCCTCTTCCTTCCAGAGAGGCTTCATTCAGGACTGCATGTTAGGTAACTTCCCCAAAAAACTGACCTCTGCAAAAGCATTACCAATAACCAGGTCGGTGGAACCATGCTGAAGTTTACGGGTGAATATTATAAAAAGAAAAACTAGTAGAGGGAAAAAACAGAACCACTAAAAAGTGAGTTGCAGAGGAAGATGACTTCAGGAACCAACATGAGGTAGGCGTACGTGCTGTTATTAAGGTGACAGCAAAGAAAAAAGTATAATTATGTGTCATATTATGCTGATTTTATCAGTGCCGCGGCTGGTAAAGTCAGGCCCTGGAGATGCAGCACGATTAGGGCAGGGTATCAAACCTCTTTTGGTATCAACCAAAATTGAAGTTTGTCATCTACCGTTTATCTTTCCTCTTTAGACAGATAGATACTAGATATTTAATGTTCCACACTCAATATTTATAACATGACTTCCTTACATACTACAATAAAAAAACAAGTCACAGCTTTCACAACGTTTACAATAAAGTGACCATAAAAATCCTGCGAGAATGCCAATTGTTGTGTCCAAAACAAACATGGACAGTACTGGGCATGCTGGTTGTTATTTTTAGGTTGTTTTATTGACATTTTGGAGAGACACTGAGGCTATAAAGCTGGTACTACTTAAAAATAATGAGCTACATGGCTTGATCCTATTGCAGTCGTCACAAGCCCAATTTAACCCCCTGCTTACCACCAGAGGGGCAACACAGGTAAAGTTTGAGCTCTGAGCGTGGGGTCAAAACAGAACAATACATCACTTACGCGATTGTTTTCCGCTGCCCACAGAATGAGCTCCTTTGGTTTGTCTTTGAGAGTTTCTTCTTTTTCTAGATACCACTCCTCACTGTGGTCACCCTCCTCCTCTTCCACCTCCTCTTCCTCATCCTTGCTTCCGGTCCACAGGCTGCTGGCCCCTCGGGGGATCAGTTGGCCATGTGTATTCAGAAGCTCAAGCTGGTTGAAATCTTCAGGAAACTCCATCACTTGCTGTTTTAACACACAGAAAGACAGATAAATTAGATAGATATACAGAGATTAAAATCAGATATGGAGGTGATGGAGTTAGAGAATATTTAAAACTGAACAATTTAAAGGGAATATTAACATTTCATACTTTTACCTTGCCCCTGGATTGAATGTGACACAAACCCCCAAAAGATCATTACAATGTGCTAATGAATGTTTTTTTGTGCACCTCAGAGGCATTTTAAATATTCACTGTCCCTGAAAGGTTGAACTGCCTCAGGATGTCTTTGTTACTCAGTTGTCAACTGTTACGCTGACTGTGAAGAGGGTTAGATGAGTGGCCTTGTCTAAACATTTTGGCTTTTTCAAATGTAAATATAAATCAAAAAAGGCAACCGGCCGCTATTTTTCCATGGTGCTTTTCATTTAATTTAGCCTTAATTTAACCAGGTAAGTCATTAAGAAAGAAATTGCTTATTTATAATGGCAGTCTGGGTTTTATTTAACATAGGTCCAACTAAAAATAAAAGTACAATATATAAGTTAGCTTCCTTCCGAATAACAAAAAGTGCAGTTTGAAGAACTTTTGTGCCCTATTTAGGATTAATTATCAATGTCCTACAATCTGGATTTAAATTACAAATGCAGATTTCTTTAAAATGTGACAAATCGTGTAATTATTTGTGATGTTTACACCTCAACATGATCAAAATATCATCAGAATCAGAAATACTTTATTGATCCCAGGGGGGAAATTTGAAATACGGCTCATATTTTGATTATGTTGAGGTGTAAACGTCCCATTTGGAGAAAAATAAGCACACAATATCTCAGATAAGCTTCTTTTTTTGTCTTTGCCCCCTGCACATATGACTGTTTTCTTGTGTGAATGTTTTAGAGCTGAAACAATTTGACAAAAAAATATTTAAACCATTAATGAATTATTTAAATATTGTAGACTGTTGACTATGTCCTTTTTTCAGCTTCCCAAATGTGATACTCTGTTGTGTTGCTGTTTTATATCATTGTAAATTGAGTTAACTAAACAAGCGATGTTTGGTTAATCGATCGACCAGACGATTAAAAATGCTGCTTACTTTCTACATTTTCTTTTCTTTTTAGTATTGTACAAACAATTATTAACTTAGTAAGTTAGAATGACAAGACATAGACACATCTTATATATATATATATATTACCTCTGTTAGAGGACATGTCTATAAGTAACTAATATTAGAAACACCTCTCAGTATAAAACAGTGCAACAGTCTCCAGGACGACGTTGAATGAATGCCTCTCTAACACAGTTTAAACCGAGAGAACAACATTATTAAGCTGCAAGGTGAGGTTTAGTGTCACACATTATACAGTTGTACTCAGTAGAGCTGTACAATGGTGTAACTAGTAAATAGTTTTAGGTAAGAGGGGATTAACTTCAACACTTTCAGGTTAACTGTTAATGTACGTTAGTTGCTGTTACGGCTGACGCAGCGAAGACTGACGAGCTAACGTAACATTTAACGTTGACGTCACATACAGCCGTTGAAATGCACGCTGACGTCACACTGTTAAACCCTGACAACCAACCGACATTCATAAGCGTAAACGTCTGTCGGGTCCAAAACAACAAGTCTCACTCACTCAGGAGGTTTAAAAACTGTACGATTTCACCCTCACCTTCCAGTTATGCGGGTTCACAACAAACCACAGTCGACTCTAGTGAAGACACATGGGATATGTAGTTGTTAACGGAGTTACCGTGAGAGAGGAACGCAGTTAAAAGACGCCAATACCCACAACTACTCGCTGTTGCTAACGTCTTCTTCTTCTTCAGCTTTATTTTCGGTAGTCCAGACGCTGCACTTATTCGTTGTCGCCATCTACCGGTTGTTGTTTGTACTGAACGAAGCGCCTGAGCGGTGCAGGGAGGGAAAGGGAAGATACAGTAGGCTTGTGTCTGGTGACTTAATGTGTCCATACATCCATTAAAACGCTAATTTGACAGATACATAATATTTTATTCAGAGTGCAGATTGAGACCTAGTGTGTTCTTAAAATAATAAATAAATAATAAGGAAGTGAGGAATTTGCCTTGGTACATTGGTGCATAAGAACCACGATCAAGCGTAGAGAAATATAAATAAAGAGAGATGAATAGAATATGTACAAAATGGCAATATATTTAAATAAATGAGTAAATAGCTGTACAGAAATGTGCAGAAAACACCAACCCAGACCCCGAAGAAACTGGTCTTGAAGGAATTTGTATTGAAAGTAAATCCACCAGGAACAGACAAGGAAGACAAATGCACTCAGTTGAATGGGGTCACCCTGCCACCTTTTAGTCATGAAAATGGCAGCTAACAGATACAAAATATGCCCTTGGAACACTGCACTCGTCAGGGGTTTTTGTCCTGTTAACTCCTGCATTTTTATCTCAGCACATACACACACATGAAAGACTGCAAGGGATGTTATTTTCAGTCTACTGTATGTCATTAATGAGACTTTCTGCAGGATTAGTCACAGGCAAATTAAAATGTTAACAAGTACTCATTCATATAGTGTAGTGCTCATACAGACCATCTTTCTCTGACTGTATGTTCCCAAATGTATACCACTGTAGTCCTCCAAACAAACACACAAAACATGTTGTTTAATGCAGCTATACAACTATTTAGATGCACACTCTTAGTGCCGCTGCTGTTCAGCTGCAAAGCACCCTTGACCCTGATTAGATTCAGTGGCACAACAGAAGCACACAAAACCCACTGACAGAAACTAATGACACCTTTTGAAGACTGTACAAAAGCCTATTTGAAAGCTTGCAGGGGAAAGAAGGACAACTTGAATTTAGGTGATTTGCATCTTCAGCCAGAAGAGACATTACAAATTAGTCACAGCAAGAGCTATAGCTTCTGTCTCTACTGGATGGGAGCACTGTAATAAAAGAAGCACAGTGTCCGTGTGTCTACTTATTAATGTAGACGTGGTGTCTGTACTGTTTAGTCATGTCATGTTTTGTTGTGTTTCTGCTGGAAAAATAATGAACGTAAGAGTATAACAATGCAGCTGTAATGCTACTGCTGATCCCTGCTAAACATTGTTTTCCCCTGATTGAAGAATGATCAGAACCCAAACCCAGCATTAATGTATTATTCAGCACTAAGTTCACAGAGATACTTCAGGAATCAGATGCATCTTACTGATGCTGGGCCGTTATCCTTCAGTACATGGAGGGATCTCAGTATACATTAGTACGTCCACATCCTCAAAGATGTATTGTGAAATTATGTCCTTGAGAAAATTAAACATTCATAGGAATTAAATGGTTATGAAGAAGTGCAATTATTTGTTGATCACAAGGTGAATACAGGGAAGTGAAGTGAAGTAGTGCTTTTATGGAGGAATTGTGGATTAATAATTTATAGTTGTTGTGGGAAAGATGTTATGTTTCTCCAAGGTGAAAAATGACATGTTGTTCAAAATAAATGTCCATAACATTTAACATTGTGATGCTCCCTTTAGGTCAATCATTTAGAAGTTTTAGAAATGGCAAAAGAAACACATTATCCCAAAAATAATGATAACAGTCTTTATTTATTGAGCACAAAGACTGCCTCACAGAGGAAAACAAATTAAAATCAACATTAAATAGAACAATGATATGAAAATAGTTCAATATTATGGGAAATGTGCTCATTTGTTTTCTTGCTGAGAGTTAGATTGATACTTCTCAAAGACTGGTAGCTAGCCTGGCTTAACCACAAATTGATATAGAATATACCGTGTAATTAGTGAACTTTGGGGGTGCTGGTAGGCAGAATTAGTGTCTGATACATACAGTGAAGCCACAGAGAGCCTTAATGGTAATCAGTACACTAATATTAATCCTCAAGTCAATAAAGTTTGATAAAATATATATTAGTTTGATCAAAATTCAGTCACTGATGTCTCAGATGTTTTATGTGATGGATGGGATTCCTTACTTGGGCAAATCGTAACTCTTCATATAATATAACATATAACATTTAACTTTGTACCATAAGCAGCAGGTCAAAAGTGCATGTAAATGATAGAAGATCTGGTATTAACATACATATAAAAAAATACTGAGTTATTGATATGAGCAGTGAATAACTGGTCCCCATATCCTCACACTTTCATCATCATTCATCACTTAAGCATGGATGACGATAACGTGTATTTGTGTGACTGAATGTGTAAATGAACATCACACTATTATATTCATTGCTTTTGTATTAATTTTGTCAGTTTAAAGTTGTGATTCAGACGGTGATAAGAAACGATCATCATCAGAATATCTTAAGTAATACTAAATAATAAATTTTATTATGCACATCATGTTTCATATCTAGTTACAGCAATTTGCTTAATCATTTTCCACACTGAGCAGCAGGCGCAGCTCAATGATTTATATAATCACCCCTGTTTGATCATCATAATCAAAAAATACTTTACTATTCTAGCACTCTCCAGATTTTATGAAACTTTGATTAAAAGTCACCTCTTCCCACCAGATTATCAACAGAGAAATGTTACTTTCTTTAGTGCAAAACTGATCAAATAAGCCATTACCATGTTGAATTTGGCAGAGAATTATCAATATTTTTGGTTTTAATTTGCTACCACAGTAGCAGAATCACTGTTAGTTTGGCTGCTTTAAAGCTTGTTTTTGGCCTTTCACACAACAATTGCTGCCATCTGTTCCTTCACCAGTGCATGTGAAAATCAACAAGTTGTACTGCACAACAAAACATAATTGGTAACTCACATTTCTGAAAAATATGAGAAATTTGTATTTCTACATCTGTAGCTCTCCTATACAAGTATATATAGTTAATTAAAGGAAAGGAAAGTCTGTAACAAAGCACATTGCAACGTTTCTGATTTATTTCTGTAACAAATGCTTTTTTTGATTTACGCAGGTTGAAAATAAAATGAAAGCTACTTTAAGGACTTTAGATTGTAATGCTACCGGTTGTTTGTGCTGTTTTAGGTAATTGGGTGACAAAGTGTTACTGTTGGTGTTGATCCAGGGATGTTTTAGATGCATTATCACATTTTGGATGTTATTATCTGTGGTGCTGAGCTCAATGTTAGTCAAGAGAATGGTGTGAACAGTTTGTGAAAGGGAACACAGCATTTGTGTTACCAATTGTGCAGATTTTTCAAGTGTTATTGGGTGAAGAAATGTTAAAACCCAAGCTTTTAAGGTGGCTTCTGGGTCAAGTACCACTGATGTGTGTTGACTTGTGTAACAAGGTTGTACAACTGGTTGCCGGTATTACATAAACCGAATGTAATGCATGTCTGCCACAAGGTGAATGAATCCATAGGCTGTATCTCTGTCTGTCTGAGCTCACAAATACATACACACACACACACACACACACACACACACACACACACACACACACCATGTTGTGCTGAACAAATAGGCTACCTTTGCCAGTCGGGAGAACTCATTTGGTTTGTTTGTACAAACTCCGGCGGATAAATCTGTGATTCAAAGGAGACAAAGGTTTCCCCGTATTGAATCTGGACGCATGCAGATTCTCGTGGGATGAAAGTATCTGACTTTCAAAACAGCCTCTTCACCCTGAAGGCAAATATCAAATCCTACCGCTCTGCTCATATCCCCGCCTGGTGGACCGCACTACATTAAGTTTTATGAGAGAAGATCAATAAGAGTAGACACCAAGAGAATGGATGGTCCTCCACTGAAGCTCACACAGGCTCTGGTCTCAGTTTCTGTCCTAACTTCAACTCTTCAAATAAACTCCAGGTAGCTTTTCTCTGTACCACTGTCAAACAAACAAAAAAAGGAAAAGGAAAAATAAAGGTTTGTATGTGTGTGAGTTTGTGTGTGTCTGGGCTGTCTGAAGGTCAGGGGTGAAAAAAAGTGCACCAGCAGCAGGTGGTGAGGAACCAGCGCACAGAAAGTCGTGATGCATTTGTAGTGTAAAAGTTCCAAACTTTGGTTGAGATTATAATTGTTTTATTATTTGATTTATAGTAGGCTATAAACCTCTGTGATAAAAACATGCAGGGAACAATTACCATTTAGAGGCACACAGAGACAGGTATGAGACAGGAATAGGACCCAAACGCAGACAATTGGCCAAACAGGAATTTTTTGATAAAAATGAAGGTAAGTAAGATTATGGGTAAAAAAGAAACTGACAGTCCACTGGAAACAGGAAAACAAATGAAAATGAGTTATTTAAAGCAGAAAAGGGAACACGGTCACAGTACAGTACCTTCCAACTGTGAAAATGGTCTATAGGCTACTGCCTAAATTTGCACATATTGGATGCTAAAATCTTGGTTTCTCCATTTTTTATTGAGGTTACAGTCTTCTAGAATACATCCATTTCCTAAAGGCTGTGTGTGTGTGTGTGTGTGTGTGTGTGCACAACAGAGATAGAGAGAGAGAGAGAGAGAGAGAGAGAGAGAGAGAGAGAGAGAGAGAGAGAGAGAGGAGGAGGAGAGATATTGTGAATAAATAATGAATTAATAAAAATTTTAAAAAACTATCAAAAGCTTATGACTCAATCAAAAGACTATTAATCAGTCAAAAGAGCCATATTTAGAAAATTGGAACAGAGACTATATATGTAAATTGGCTGAATATCTCCACTGTGTCAGAAATAGGAAATGAAGAAGGATCCTGTCTGACCACCAGCTAGCTATAGAAACTGTGAGACAGTGTTCAACAGGAGAAATAGAAAGACAGATGCTCTTCCTCCTTCACTGTGAGAAGTTATCTTCACCAAGAAATTTCCACTTAGGGGAAAATGGCCAAAAAAAGATCAGATTTTCCAACATTAACCCCAGAAGAGAAACTGTCGGTTCTCCTTGGTGAGCAGAAAGAGAGAGAGAGAGAGAGAGAGAGAGAGAGAGAGAGAGAGAGAGAGAGAGAGAGAGAGATACACACAGAGATACAGAAAGAGAGAGAAAGAGAGATACACAGAGATACAGAGAGAGAGAGATACAGAAAGAGAGAGAGATACAGAGAGAGAAAGAGAGAGAGAGAGAGAGAGGGAGATACAGAAAGAGAGAAAGACACACACACACACACACACACACACACACACACACACAGCATAAAACAGGGGTTCAAACGCAGCAGCAGCCGCGCATCGCATCACGCTACTTGTTGCACATGTTTCTGCAGCTCCACATCACTTCAGTGACAGCAGGGACGGGGCAGGTGTTCAGCTGACAGTCGCACAGATTATCGAAAGAGAGAGGGGAAAAAACAGACCAATAAAACATACAATACAATGAGAGCGGTGTGTGTTTGGTTGTTTGTGGTGCTCTGGATGTGCAGTCCTGACCGGGCAGCAGCGGAACACACACTCAACGACTCCTCACTTCAAGGAGATGGGATGTTTTCTTACAAGGAGCATTTACTTAATGTGTCGGGGCAGCTGAATAACCGGACTACTGGATTCTTCCTCCTGGACTTTGACGAGGGGATGCTGGAGGACTGGCGCTCTCTGGCCAGTAAGAAGCGCCGGGGCGGGGAGTCGCAGGACGGGAGCGTCAAGGCGCTGCTGGTGGCCGCTTACTCTTTGATCATCTTGATCTCCCTGTTCGGGAACACTCTGGTGTGCCATGTGGTGGTGAAAAACAAACGCACCCAGTCCGCCACCAGCTTGTTTATTATGAACCTGGCAGTGGCTGATATCTTCATCACTGTTCTCAATACGCCCTTCACCCTGGTAAGTAGACCACCTATACACCAACATGACCTTATGTGTGTGTTGAGAATGAAGTCTGAAACAGCCCATTAGGATGCTCTTGTCTTTGCACTTTTAAAGAACAATGTGGGGAAACTTTCTACACTTTTTGTGTCTTTGGCAAGGCTGGACAAGTTAAGTGAATGTTTTAATAGGTCTTATTTCCCCTTAAAATCACGTTTTTATTATGAAATGCTAAGAAATTGTGGGTGTAAAAGCCTTTTTTATTCCAGTTTTCCCACTATTTTTTGCCACTAGCCCTTTAGAAATGTGATCCATACCTGCACTGCTTAAAGTATGCATAATTATAATATTTGTAGTCGATTATAGAGACTGTTGTCACCATAAGATGGCGCCATTTGTGCCTGTGCCACTGTGTGTGTGTGTGTGTGTGTGTGTGTGTGTGTGTGTGTGTGTGTGTGTGGTGAGAGAGAAACCAGTGTGAGTTAATAAATGTACCTATCTATCTGTTCCCTGGGTTACTTTGAAACAAACAATTTGAGAACATATTCCCATTTCAAATTAGATATTAATTTAGAGACCCGGGACTTCATAAAGCTTTTGAACATTTGTTTTAGTGCTCATAAAATTGTCAATCACCACATGCTTGAACTTGATGGTGTCAGTAATGTCTCATTGTGATGGATGGAAGAGGCTGGCAAATTGAAAGGTGTACACGATGTGCTCTGTGTGTGTGTGTGTGTGTGTGTGTGTGTGTGTGTGTGTGTGTGTGTGTGTGCCCCTCAGGTCCGATTCGTGAACAGCACCTGGGTGTTTGGGAGGACAATGTGTCACATCAGTCGCTTTGTACAGTACTGCTCCCTGCACGTCTCCACTCTCACACTCACTGCCATTGCATTGGACCGACGACAGGTTTGTTTACATCAGGTGATGAAGCGGTGGCGCTCTCCTGCCCTCGGAGAGTATCACAGCTTCACAGTTTGATAAAAAATTACTGTGTGATGTGCAGAACACTATAATGTCAAGTTATGACTTGAAGGTGAATGTTTTAGTCAGGTGTCCTCCAAATATTCTGTCAATAACATGCTAGATTATTGAGTTTTTTTAGAGGCCTGCCGCAAAGTCCCATTTGATAGAGCTTTGTCCTGCACCAGGGGTGGAATGTCTATCATCTTAGGCAGTGGCGGCAGTACAATGAGATGGGTGTGCTGCCAAAAAGCGCCCCCTGTTGAGCAGTAAGGAAACCTTAAGCTGTTTGGTGGCCAGACTTGAACCTGTGTGGCCATGGCCACCACTGGTCAACCCCTGGCTCCACCTATGATGATACGTTTATAAAATACAACACACATTTAAAGACTAAACCAGTGGTTCCCAACATTTTTGGTTTTGAGCCTTCACAATGAGCCAATGTCCATTTCGGACACGTTTTAGACGTTTATTAGTTGTTCCTTCTCTAAACTTCTCAAATGGTTTAATTCCAATAACTGTTCAAATTATGCAATATTTCACAAAAAACATACATTAGAGAAAAGTTTAAAAAACGGAAATAAATTTGTGTCGCTTTGTTTTTTCTTCTGTCCTCTTCCATAAATCCTCTCACAACCCCTCAGATTTATCTTGAGACCCTTTGACAAGTTCTGACCTAAACTACCAAACTGTACATTATATAAAGCATTTAAAACTAGCCGCTCACCCATTGATACATCAGTAATGATGTTATATCAGTCATAGGGGCCATATATTTCTGTAGAGCAAGTACTTTCTGCTGACAGTACTTTGTCCACCACTGATCTCAGGCATGCCCATGTGACACACGTGTTGTCATGTGTTCGTCTTATTGGTGGAGGTAAAAAAAGGTGAAGTTCTTTGTTACCCTATTACGCCCCAACTCAGTGTTTCCTCTCAGTTATGAAATGTCTTGTTAGTGCCTTACTCTACAATAAACAATAAATGTCAGGAGAATATAAACAGTCTCTCTATATTATTACTGTATATTGACGCCATATGAGAAGATTACTATACTCAATACACCAAGTGACTAAGAAACATCCCAAGCAACTATATTTTGAAATATTATAAAATAGTATAAACTTGTTAAAAAGTAGATTAAAGAATTTAAAATGTGTAAAAAAAGATTTTTAAAGTTCTCCATTTTGAAATCTGACTCCTCAGCCTAATGCTTTAACTTAACTAAAGGTTCAAGTTTATTTATAAAGTGTCGTTCATTTACTTTGTTTCAAATGAAAGCCTTCTGCAGTCCGAAAAAGGGAGACTCAGTTACCAAAGCTTGAAGTTATTAATAGTTAATACATTTCCAATTTTAATGCTGCTTTGTTGTATAATGGAAAACATCTCCCGCTGTCTTCATAACAAAGAACAAACTCTAATAAATGACATGCTTAATAATTTCTTCTTTTGTACTGTGAAATTGATCTTGTTCCAACAAACCACTTTAAAAACGCAACATTAAACATGAACCGACTTTTAAGATCAGACTCAGAAGATCGTTGGAGCTGTATGATGAGATGTTATCACAACAGTAATAATATTATCTGATAAATAGATTAAAGGAAGCAAAAAAGAAACACCTCTTCACTGAGGCCGTAATAATGTTTTAATATTCAAAAATCCATTCATGTTTGACACTTCGTTGATGTCTGTTCACACCTCCTCCTCTAGATTGAGCAATCTGTTGAATACTAACAGGGGGGAATACATTGGGTGACCACACTGCAGGGGAGTACATATCTTGTTGCCTGACGGTGCTAAGATGTTCAATAATGCATTTTCTGCCAGACTCTGTGGCTTTGGCCCGTATATTGTATTGTGCATGGGAAGTAAATTAAATGAATTATGTTAGCTGCACTGCATGAGATAAATTGTCCTTATATAATAATGTGTGCTATACCAATCGCAGACATAGAGAAGGTTTTAGATTTAGCGGCATTCTTACAAGCAGCACAGGCATGACATTGAAAAAGCATCACATAATGCAGATGAGTTTTGTCCTAACTTATTGTTTCCTGATGACTCCCTTGACCTGACAGCTTCAGTTCAGGTCCCATTTGTGTTGTGCCACAAAATGAAATCATTTGCTCATGAAATAAAAAAAAAAAAATTGGGGACCTGTTGCAGATTATTTTCCCAAACCTGTATTCTGACCAAAGGAAAAGATGTCAAGTTTCTTAAATGAGAAAGTTTGAATTTAAGATGAGCTCTTGATGTGTTTTCTTGACCAAAAACATCATATAAAGACTGCTGCTGCTGCTCACCAATGACATTACTGGCCACCTGGTTTTATTGCTGATATACACAGCATTAATAACTTCTTTATTAAACATTAATAATAAGCATTAACAACATTAATAAGTGTTACTTTCAACTTAAAATGCTTAAATAAAGTTCCTGGTTTTAGAAAGTGGCTACATGCATTCAAATATAGATAGCTGGCCTCCTGCCATTCTATTGCACTTGAATTTGATATTGTGGGTGTATGAGTGACAACTCCTCACAGTTTGAAAACATCTGGTATAAACCATCTAATTGGTTAAATTACTCTTGTTGTACCTGAAGGTAACAATGAAATCTTGAGCCAAACAGACTTCCTTCCTCTCCTCTCACCATAGACCGAGGTTACAGAAAGACAACTGCAGCACAATGTGAAGATACCTGAGGACACTGTACAAGTTATAAGCTGTAATCTTGTTTTACAGCTGTGTCTGAAATTGCACCCCAGTTCATTGATTTTCCTCTACATGAATCAAAACCTTTGCACAGTGAAAGCTCCCAATGCAAAACATCTATTATCACCAGCAAACATTCTCCCCATGATAAGCCCTCATAGGGTAGTCTGTGAGTAGTAAACTGGGATTTCAGACTGTAATGAAACATAAGTTTTCTCTCCGTGCTGCAGGCGTTGTGTTGTATGGTTGTTATTTGTTACCTCCTGAGCTACAGAAAAGCATTGCATTGTGGTATCAAGTAATAAACATGATATTTGAGTTTCAAAATTCATATTTGACTGAAAGACAGCTGTTGATAGTCTCACCTCAAAGTCCATATAGTAGCTCTGCTGCAGTTCTCAGCAGTAACCAGCTGATCTAGCTCATCTTTATGCTTAAAAGCTGGTCCATGACCAATTACCTCTTTATTGAAAGTGGATTATCATTGATTGATTTTATGACAGTGTAGCACAGACATACAACAACATTTGCATTTTTGACAAATACGTTTTATCATGAGCTGCTGTAACTGTTAGCTAAAACATTTGCCCTCTGACACAAATAGAAAATAATGTTTTTAAAATATGTTTTCTTTCTTAGAAGAGTTAGATAATTAGAAAAAGGAAAACACTGACAACATATTCAGCTATGTTGGCCCACCACTGAACAATGCAGAAAATACATGCCCACACATTTAAACCTAATGCTCACCCCAAGTATACAGCCCTGCACAGGAATTTTTAAAGTGTACTGTTGTGACAGTTAGTATAACAGAAATCAAGAGATATAACACTAACATAAATTATAGAATTTAAGGTGTCACTGCCAATGATGATTTAAAAAGAGATGCTTTTTCACCACCATTCAACTCCTCAGTTCTTTCTGCATAGCATTGTGGGATACTTGTGTCTATCAAAGCCCACTGAAAAATAAACAATCAATGTTTTAGTACACACATGCAAATTTTTTTCCAGTGTGATCACAATACAGTAACTAATGTACAGTCTGCATTCGATTAAGCCGCAGCTGTGCTCCTGCCAGCGCTGTCCATGGTGCTGAATTTCTAAAGGGACCAAGTGTTGAGATGGAGAATAACTATATATGATATCGATATGAGAGATGTGGGTGTATCTGTGAATGTCAGTGTAGTCAACACTGAGCAGTATAGGTTACATATAATCCTAAAGGTCCAGTGTGTAACATTCAGGAGGATCTATTGGCAGAAATGGAATAAAATATTCATAGGTATGTTTTCATTAGTGTATAATCACCTGAAAATAAGAATTGTTTTTAGCTACCTTAAATTATTCACACTGGTCCAATAAAGCTTACATTATCTTGCTTTTACTGTCAGATGAATATAAGAGACATGACTGTGACTCGAACACAGATGTGTTTGAGTTAAGTTTTACTCTTTAAAAGCTTCACTCTTGTGGCCATAGTGATATTCAAGTAGCAATGAAATTACATAGATACAGCTTGATGGCCTTGAAAAGCACTGCATCACCTGCAGGGGCTGTAATGTTTTTCTCTAAGGCTCTTTTATTACATTTCATTATATCAGCCATGCCCATTGCCTTTGTGTGCATACACAGTCATCCACTATTGTATGCAAATAGAGAGGATTCATTTGAAAAGAAGGACTGTTAATGTAGGTTTTTATTTAGGCTGCTAATGTACCAAAGTCCAAAATTCTATTTTGAGAAGTAACAATATGCATGCTTTTCATAATGGGCTGGTTTGTATTTGTGAAAAAAAGAACAGATGGTTTTGTTAGGGTTACTCATAGTGGCCTTGTATTTTTAGGCCAGGAATTTGCTTTTTGATGTTTGTTTTAAATAATTGATCGAGTCCATGATGTACCAGTTTATCAAAAAAGTAGCAGGTGGACTTCCAATTCTGTAAACTCCCCCCCCATCATACATTTACAAACACACTGTCTCAACAACCTTGGGTCAAATGGTTAATGGCAGCTCTGATGTGCCCTTTGCTGAAGATGAAAATTAAATTGAGCCATTTTGATTGTTAGATGAATCGTGACTGTACATGTCTTTATTACTAGTGATGCCTGGGAAAGTGTTTAGGAGCTTACAACCAATATAAAATTTATTAAATAAGCCACACCATTGGTGAATGAAAGTCTTCTTTATCATTGAATGTATCTGCATGGATTCATGATATATTATTCTCCTCCAATGTAGCAGTGAAAGAAGTGTTTGATTTGCCCACCAATACGTCTTTTACATACGTTTTCCTCTTAGCCCTCAATAACCCGTAGCTGAACATTTTCTTTTGTTTTTGATTAATCTACAACCATAAAGCCAGATAAAATGTTGTATTATGTGAACTAATAATAGTTACATTACTCCGAACGTCTTGATTGTGGATCCTACATTGTCCAACAGAGACATGTAATGTACAGTAGACTTGAAAAGGACAATCGGTATGCGATACATCTGAATGTCAAAGACATGCCAGGACATCAACAGGCCTGTCTTTCTGCAGGGTTTATCTTCCACCTAGAATCCCACTAGGGGATTATACCAAGAAAAATCAGTTTCAGTCTACAAATGGGTACCTGACTATTGTTTTTATCCTTCAATAACTTCCATTCTGTAAAGCTAAAGTGTTTCATTAGCTCATTATTTTTAGCTCTGCAGCTGCAAAACACTGAAACAGACCATTCTGCATAATGCATATGTTTATTTTTAATTATTTGATACTAGAGCAGTTGTACTATTACTTACATAAAATGCTGAATGTTTACTTTTAATCGACTATTTTTTACAGTATCGGTTCCCCTACAAAGAACTTATGGTGGCCCCCTGTAGACAAAAGTAATAGTGTTCCTACTGCCTCATTTTATTGATTTCCCTGTGGCAGGCATTAAGAGTATCTATAGAAATAAATAGCCAGTCTCATTGCTGATGTCTTGTTTGTTTATGTAAGTCAAATAGAAGCATCAGTATTAAATTCATAACCACCTCCTGGAGTGTTTTTGTCAATATTACCTGTTTTAATATCATGGTGGAAAAAGCAAGCACAGCTTACAGTATCTAGACTGGATGGTCTCTCTTTTCACTCAGTCAGACTGCTGGTTGACGCTCAAGGTCATGTGAGTACAGTCAGTGCAGAGAGGACATTGTGTCTCCCCCTTTGACACCTCTGGTCACCACTAAACAGAAAGTAAACAAACAACCTTTTTTGGTATTTCTTCATTTTGTATAACATAATACAGGCCAGTACAGCACAGACAAAATGGGCAAGAGGTTAGTAAACAGCAGTATAAAAAATAGTTTACTGTGCTCTGGTCGCAAGTTATTTCTTGGGCATTAGTGGATTTATAATTAGATAAGAGTAAATGTGCAATGGTCCACCAACAGAGAGCAGATATTTTAATTAAACCTCTGTGTATAAATACACAGATTTGCATGGATTATGTATTTCATGTATTGTTTTGATCCAGTGCGTGTATTTACACTGACTTTGATCTGTGTGCTTTCAGGTGATTTTACATCCTTTGAGACCACGCATGTCCCTGGCACAAGGAGGTGTTTGGGTCGCTGTTATATGGATAATGGCCAGCTGCTTCTCCCTCCCACATGCAATCTACCAAAAACTATTGACTTTTACATACAGGTAAAATTATACAAACTCATACCTTTCAAGGAAGATCAATTGTATGATACTAATTATTGAGGTTAGCAACAGAGAAAGACTTTGGTGACTCCACTGATGTGAAGCACCTTATTGATCATCCTGTCATATGGAGATAATAGGATAATGGAGGCAATAGGACAGGATCCCTCTAGTAAGTGGAGTTCATGGTGGTGATGAGAAGATGGGGGGGTTGCTCAATCTTTGGTCTAAAAGACAGAATGACAGGATCATTTAAAAAACAGCATGCAGAGGAGAACCAATCTGGTTTATGTTACGATTAGGAGACCTTCATCATCATGGTTACAGTAATAAAAACGTGTTTAAGGTTAGGAAGTGATGGGGGTTATGGATGAAAGAAACGTTGATTGTCAGTTTTTCCCAAGTGTGACCCTATTGTGATGTCATATATTGGATTGTGGACCACCGTTTTGAAGCCTCAAGTTTGGCATTATGGCCGTCACCATTGTATCATCTATTTTACTTCAATTTGGACCGTAATTTACAAAATAAACATCATGCTTTATGGAAAAAAGACTTGATACTTTTAACTGAGACCATAAACTCACTAGTAAATGGTTTACTGAGCTAATACATCAAGTGAGAAGTTGGGTCATTTCAATTAGGCTTCTTTTTTGCAGCCTATGGAGTGGCCCCCTGCTGTTCATGAGAAAGAATGCATGCTCAAGACAATTCTGCATTGGCTTACGTCACAGACCAGGTCCACTAATTATATACTGTCAGTGTCAATGATTCTTTAATGTAAATATAATATGGTGATATCAGAATCATGACCGTAAGGACTTTGACAGCGTGGGAAAGCAGAGGTGAAGGAGAAGATCAGAGTGGGAAGAAATAACATCCAATCATCTAAAATAAAGAGATTAGTCAGAATGACCATATAAACTTATATTTCTCCTCATAAACCTTTTCCTAACCTTTTGTGTCTATATCTGATCCCCCCCAATGTTGTCTGAATACACTTACCTAGAGCTGAGATGATTAATTGATTAGTGGACTACTAGGAAATTGATCAGCAATCAACTATTGTAAAAATATTAGTCATTTGAGTTTGAGTTAACAAATTAACTATATAGTTAATGGGCTATTTTGGGTGGTTTTGGATTGTTAATTGGTCAAAAAAAGCAATTTTACCTTATAATAGACAATTTCACAATTTTATATTATTATTATAGTTTATTTATTTTATAGAGAAAACAGTTAATCAAGAAACAATTAAAAAAAACCTGTTTACTTGTTCACTAATCTGTCTTTCTTGTTTCCTTTTGTACTGTCATTGTGCCCAAAAGTAAGGAAAAGGAGCGCAGCCTGTGTGTCCCTGACTTCCCAGAGCCTTCAGATGTCTACTGGCAGTATATTGACCTCTTGACCTTCATATTGCTTTACATGCTGCCACTCGTCATCATCACTGCCTCTTACACCACAGTAGCCTGCAGACTGTGGAGCCACAACGCCATTGGTGACACCACAACAGCTCAGCACGCCGCCCAGAGAAGAAAGCGCCGGCGGACGTTGGCCATGTTGCTCCTGGTGGTCGGAGTGTTCGCTGTCTGCTGGTTTCCACTCAACTGCTACGTGGTGCTGCTGTCCAGCCAGGCCATCCACTCCTCTAACGCCCTGTACTTCTGCTTTCACTGGCTGGCTATGAGCTCCACCTGCTACAACCCTTTCATCTACTGCTGCCTGAATCCCACCTTCCGCCAGGAGCTGAGGCTCCTCTTCAACATGTGCAGGAGGAAACAGAGGGCGGTGGTCGGGTTGGAGCCGGAGCTCCGCCCCGCTGCTGCCTGCGCTCCTCGTCAGAGGGTTGCCTGGCCTGAAAACCATGAGTCCTCAAGGCCAAGGCATGCTTTGTCCCAGCCGGGCCACACCTCCTCACAGCAGAGTCATGCCTCTTCCATTCAATCCCACAACCTAAAAGATACGCATGTGCTCTTCACCGCCAGGCAGTTCCTCACAGGAAGAACTGACATCCTCTCAGTGGAGCCCATTGTGGCTGTGAGCTGAAACAGCTGGCGCAATGTGATGGGATTTTCATATGTGAGATTCATAATCCTATTTCAGGATTTCATCAAGTTTCAAAGAGGACAGGAAATCTGAAAACCTCAGAGATGTATAGCTGGGCTCCACACATGATTTCAGTGCGAGCGAGAGATGGTTTTTGTAATGGCTTTAAACTGAAGACACTGTAATCATAAAGTGATTTCCTTGTGGTTTTGTCCAACTTTTTTCTTTCCACTGTGTTTATTACACTTTTTTCTATCTCCTGATTTGGTCCATAGTTTGTCAAGAATTGAGGCCCCAGCCCTTAAAAGACTGACAAAACAATCTCGCCACAAGGTTCTGGAGCTTTCAGTCTTATCATGCGATCTCCCTCGGGTGGAGTTTGCCCAGTTGTTCATGTTCAAATTTCCATTTGTTTTCTGCATTTTAAGGACTTCTCCTTCATGTTGGTGAGATTCCATGTTAATTTCGGATCATTGAAAGTTGGCATCACCACAAAGTCCATTAGGTAGATGTTCTGGAGCCTTTGATCAATTAAAAAAATGTCTTAATGCTGTTACATCACTGACACTATGATATACAAAACAGTGTTAATGTAATCAGTGCAAAGAGGTGCAAACTGGGCTCATTCATCATGTTACATTACATTAACTGAAGTTTGTTAATACTATATTCTTATGAAAAAAAAAATTTCTGGCATTGATGTTGATGTTCTAAAGTGATTGTTTGGTCTGTGTGTGACTTTTCTTTCAGCAGCCTTCACAGGCGGGTGGGGTAACAGCAAGGTTCATTAATACCTCAAAACCTCCCTGAAACTGTGAAAAAAAAACATCTTGAAAGCATAAAGGGGGACGTCACAACTTTGGTTTTCAATTCTGCCTGCAAGCAGAGAATCTCAGTGGGTGAACATGTTGAGAACGAAATTGTGTTCCCATTGATCCACAGGCCACTTAAAACCCGTCCTGTTGCACATACTATTTTTCTGTTTATCCTTTGATTGATATTTAGCCAGAGGGTTTATAGAACATGCACCAGGGAAGAAAATATACCAACCAGACATTACAGCAGTGTAGGTGACTTACCTTCCTCATCACACTGTCACGGTATTAGTATCAATATCTATACCATAGACTGCTTTAAAGCCCCTTCACACTGTGTGGTTTGGGGCTCTCTGAAACAATAGTTGATAATCAGAGAAACATGGTAAAAATCCAGAACAAGATTTAGGACCAAATTCTCAAAATTAGACTTTATGCTATGACCCACAAACCAACCAATGATGCAGAATGCTGGCCAGTGCGCTGTTTCATAAGCGCCATTTAACCACCATTTTTGTTTAGGAAAAAAGTCCTCACAAAACGATGGAGTAAAAAAAAAAGAAAGAAGAAAACCTTTTGCTGTATTTCAAAACAAAACAGCAGATGGATGACAGAGCTGATGATTTGCCTCTGCTTGTATGTACTTTTTTATAATTACATCACATCATTAAAACACATTGATTCCACAATCTGGCATCAAATTGATATTGTGCAGTCTGACTCAGATTGCGACTGAGGCTTTATCAAACACTCATACAGAGTGACATGCAATGGACTCAATAGTGCACAGTCTAGTTTCAAAGCTGCTTTCAAGAGCAAGCTTATATTGCCACTTTTGTCAGTCTTGTTTATGCTTTTAGGAATTTGAAAAAAGTATTTGGTGCGCCAGGTTGACAATTTCACCAGTACATGAAGACCAAATGTGACCACTTTAACTTTGGCTCACTCTGTTAAAAGCTTGCTAAAAAGCTCCAGGTGCATTACTGTGTGCATTTGTTGAGGCTGAACATCAAAGCGAGCTTGCAGTTCATTTGATATCACTTGGTTTATTTTTGTCCACTACCTTACATTCATATTTTCCCATGTATCCATCTAATCATGGCTGGAATATGTAATCTTGAAATTACTGGAAGGCAGACTATTTTATTGTATACCTCAGGTACACATCACAAGAATGCGCACAAGTCCTACAGTGTCTGAATTGTTGTGTTTCCAACCATTGCATACACTTTTTCCATCTTTCTTGTGTCTTCAAAGGCCTGATTCATGCTGGCACCTTTTATACAGTGTGTATGTGGCTACTTCACTCTGACAATGGAAGGGAGAAAACTGTGTTGCAGTCAGTGCACATAGAAAATATGTACAGGTTAATTGCTCATATAAGCTGGATCATCTTTGTTTTTTGTTCAGCTTCGTTTTCTGCTCAGTCACAATCAAAATGTGAAAAACACATTTTCCTTTTGAGAGATTAGCAAAGAAAGTCCAGGGCCTATTTCTACTCTAACATCCTGCCCTCCTATCATAATATGGGTCTGAGAAACATGAAGTGAACTTCTGATGGTGTTCATCCCAGGAAGCTGCAGTGCTGAAAGGGCAACCATAAATGCACTGCAGACCGTTTCCAGCACATACAGAGTAAAAGGGAACTAAAACATTTAGCTGAGGATGGAGATTTGGTGTAACATCCGTACTTTGTTTCCACATCATCATACAAATTGTTTTAATGAGCTGTTTATTAAAAACGTGTTTATACAGTGAGTGTTTCATTCTAGCAGTTAGTTATTAAAAATGCGATAATCAAACAGATTTTCGACTATGTCCTAATGACAATCACAGTTGAAAATAAAGATTTTTGTGGTTAAAAAATATGTTATATACTTTTAGCTTTGGAGGGTTCTGCATGACATTATTGTGATGCAGCATTGTTGGAATCAGAGACTTCACGGCCACTAAAACAAAACATAAATGGCTTTGAAAGAAACAGAAAAATATATAGTTTTGAGTGTTCAGTGTTTCTTGTGATTGAAATATCTTGTGCTTTGTCTAAGAAAGTCAAAATGGTAAAATGTGTGTACATGTGCATGTACTTGTACATGTACAACTGTTATGTAAAATAAAAACTGAGAAAATTGTTAGACATTTTTGTCCATGAATCACTTTTATTTTCACTTTGTAGTGATCAATACCCCTTATTGATCAATATGCCAAAAGAAAATCTTACAGTTCAGGAATATGTGTAACATTAGAAGTGTATTTTTCTGTCTGTATGTGTCTGTGTTTTTAAAAGTCTGTGTAACATTTAAAAGAGTGTGTTGGTAGAAATGGAATATAATATTCTTAGGTTTGTGTTTTGTATTGTAGAAACGTGTTTTTGTTACCTTAGAATGTCCGTGGAGGCTGCCATTTTATGTCGCCAGTAGCCCATAACAGAGAAACCAAACACTCGCTCTATATTGGGCCATTCCTGTTCTTTGCTAATTTTGCAGCCACCGTAGTTTCTCCCTTGCACTTGGAAGGGGAGGGTGAAGTGAAGGAGTTGCATTCTGCAATTGCACCGTTAAATGCCACTAAATCCTACACACTGTACCTTTAAACATTTGTTGTTTGTAATATTTTGCTGTAAATTGTGAATGTTAATATATATAATAATAATAATAATAATAATAATAATAAAATATATTAAATAAAACAGCTAATCCTGATCCTCAATATTGGTTTTGAACGTTCAGACTTTTTTTTCTGGAACAATCACCAGCACTGATTGAACTGTTGTTTTTCTGGTAAGGACAGACATATTAACAATGGTCACAGGCCTCCTATAGTGAGATAAGAACTGCATTAGTAGACATTGTAGGCAATACTTGTTTTTTTTTGTTAAAGCCCATCTTGTGTTTTGGATCCTGAGACAGCAGAATCTGACAGCTTCCATAAAACCAACAGCAGCTCAGGTGAAATGTCATCAGGTTCAATAGATTTGGATTCTAGTGCCGATGCTAAAGCTTAAGTTTGTGTGATAGGAGCAGAGTGTTTGGTGTATCTAATACATAATGTTCTCTCTCTGCAGACAACAGACTGAATAATAAGCAGTCTATGTTTAGGATATATGAGCCAGAAAGTACTAGAAATTGTAAATGCAGAAGAGTGTGGGAGCAAGCTGTGTCCTTCAGTGTTTTTTGAATGAGATTTGATTCACAATGTAAAAATTCTTGTAGTATTAGTAGATGGTGCGTCCATCAACTTATACTACCTTATATGCCTTTTATGTTCAGTTGAGCAAAGATGACTTTCATAATTCAAGGAAATCTGAATCCAAAGTGACTTTTATGAATTGTTGGCTCACAATTAACAATACAGATATTACATTTTATGTAACAATTGTACAGCCAAGGCAACAGCGGTCTGTACAGATAATATTTGTTTTAATATATTGTTTGCATCCATCAATCTTCCAAACTTAAGTAACCACCTCCACAAAAATGTTGCTTGGGTTTTTAATGCTTTCTCCTTTCCAGTGAGTGTTGAAGACGACCTCAAAGAAAGGCTCAGTAATAGTCTTCTTTTCAGACACACTTTTAGCACAGCCTTTTTCACTGCGCAACCTTCTGCTCTCTGCCATTGTCGCTCTCCGTGACAGTGAATGAAAGAATGCAAACAACTAGTTTCGATCACTATGCAGTAGTGAGACATAGCAAAATGAATGAGAGTGTAAACACAATTACTGTCGTGACAGAGCTTTCGAGTGGTATGCACTGATAGTATTGACCGGTGATATTAGAAAAATTTACTTTAGATCAAAACTGACGTACACATACACCCAACTCAGCGAACTTAACCAACTTTCTATCAACAATTTTCAACACATCTGTGATTCCAAACTAAGGTAACTAATAATTTTCACAATAAGCATGGCCTTGATGGTAGAAACCACTGACAGTATATAATGACAGTAGTAATTTCTTGCTGCTGTCCATATATCTTTTATTTTAAATACACTCTCTCAACTGGTGCATTACATCAAGGTAAACACATGACAACAGATGCTAGGCAGATTAGTGTATTGGATGTTATTCTCTACCTAAGCGGTGTTTCACATGCTTTCCATTCTTCAAGCAATCTTCTCTTAAGGAATTCTTGCAGGCCAGTAACCTCGTCAAACAATGCATCCTCATTGATGGTCACATTGGGGCTTGCAAGTAATTCACAATTGTAATGAAGAATGATTGGGATGCTTTGAGAAAGCCATCTTTAGACTGACGTTTATTCTTTTTAGAGAAATATCAGACAATTACTGACTGAATTACATTTAAATGGGCACAGACATGTTTCCCCTGAGGTCACATTAAAATGTCATGTTGTCCAATACTTTTATGACCATAGAAGCAAAGACATTCAGCTATAACTAACACGCTAAACAAAAATAGTAAACAAACACTGGCTCTAGATATGGCTGTTTTTTACAGCCTTCTTTGCCCTTGGAGGGAGAAGGCAAGGGAGTGGCAATCTACTTCACAGATAGATGCCAATAAATCCTACACACTGGTCCTTTAAGTACAGTACTTCACAAATGTACTTTATTGTATTCCACCACTGGAAATTAGTGATGGGTTAACTAAACCTCTGTTTTTTTTATATAATAAATAATAATATAATATTCTTCTCTATGTAAGTGAAAAAAAGCTCAGACAGAAAGGGAGTAAAGAATGTGAGGGGGTTTGTTTTCTATTAAAAATTGTGTAATGTGACAAAAAGATGTTGGAAATTATACAAATCAGTAACATCTTAATTCAAGAATGATGGAAAGACAGGATAGCTAGTCAAGAAAACTTTTTTCCCAGACTTTTTTTCTTGAAGTGGTCTGATGGCATAACCCTGACACCCTGCCTCAAATAACGTTGCCTGCAACACTTAGATGTCCCCAATTCCACAAAAGAACTGAGACCTGCTCTTACAACCTGACAATCTGTTGCACCATTCTGTCCCTGAGGGAAGACCTTGAGTGGAAGAGGAAATAAGTGAGAAATGCCAAACAGGTCGTCTAAGAGCTTGTGAGCTCATAAAGGTCATCCTGACCAGCAGTGTCGACACTATGCCATTTACGGAATATCTCTGTTGCATAAGTTGCATATTAAAGGAGGGATGAGGGGGACAGAAGCACAGTGTGCTCTAAGTATGAGTCAGCCTTCATTTGATTGTGGTGGCACTGACCTGCACTACATTTGGCCATTATGAAAATGCCACAAGCTTTGTGTCTCTGTGATGATGGAAACAATTTTGTGACAATTACTGGAAGACTTGCAGTCTCATACTTATTTAACATATTTCTGCAGTTTCCTGTTTTCCTCTACAGAGCGTTTACTCTCACTGTCCTATACCTTTTCACCATCTGGGTGCCCCCTAGGGTTTTAATTAATTTTGATAAAACAATTATAATGTCTTGTGATAATATTTATAGGCATTTTTGTAAAGGCCATTCTTTTGTCTGTGTCTGTCACAAATAGAAAGAAACTGTTACTTTCAATGAACCCCAAAATGTCAGCGTGTCGCGAGCTTCACTGACTCTGATGTTAATATTTTTGACCCAAACAGTGAGACCTAGTATCGTCTAAACTTTGAGTTTGTTGCTTGTTATTAAATGTTATATGATCTTTTATTCTGGCACTTCAGAAGGCCAAATGTTGTTTCCATTATGCTGGGTTAAATGTTGATAGATCAACCACTTGAAGAATAAAGTGCTAACTGTGCTAACCTTTTTTTTTTTTTTTGTACTATGTCATTTCACACTCTTCCTATTGGAATTACAATTACTCTGGCATGATGGTAAGTTTTGAATTTGGTCCATTATTGAGACGTAATCCTTGCAAGAAATCAGGAACCATCAAAATATCAATACTTGGTTTTTCCACCGACCAGCTCAGATTGTTATTATAAGTGTCTGACAACCTGACCCTACAGAGAAATAAAACGTTTTCTGTTCCTTTCACTTGACCCGCTGTGTTTTCTAACCAAGTCTTGTTCAGGGTCTCACTGAACAAGAACAAGTCTCACTCTGACATCTCTGTAGAGGTGAGGTGACTTGTTGCAGGAAGCGTAATGCTGGCCAGGAAGGGTTTGTTGTGTTGGAGTACAGAAAGCATCACTTAGTGTTATGTACAAGATTTTGAGTGTCATGACTTACTTAGCTCATTTGGATGAGGCCATTGAATCGATGGTCACCCTTATTTATTTGAGCTGGGGTATACGGATAGGACTACAAATTGAAGAGCAGATAAGGAAAGAGAAAGGGGCAACAGGCAGAGGAGGGTGAACCAGTTGCTGCAGAGCTGTGAAACTCAGGAGATCGGTGGTGCTCTGACCCTATGACCACAAAGATTTCACAGATGGTGTGCAATTGCCCTCCAAGACCACATTGACATGTGCTTCACAGCTGCAGGTTACAGCGCTCTAACTCAATAGTGGACCAAATTCAAAACTTGTTGTCCCTGGCTCCTTAGTCACTTTGACACAAAAACACAGATAAAATGAACGCGAAAAATTAAAATTAAAATTAATTAAATTAAAAGTTACCCATTAAGAAGTCAAAACTCCAGCAACATTCAGAGTATAAAGTATAAAACAACTTTATTGTCAGACCAACGTGTTTCTGCTTGTGGCCTTAATCAAGGTAATCTCTGTACAGACAAACAGAATACCTTCAGTGTTTGAACAAGGACAGCCTTTCATTACCATGTCTTGAATATTTTGACAACACTCCTGCTGGCTTGTGAAGATGACAACTTGCACAATACTCAGTGTTCAGTGTGATGCTTCAAATCAATGACAATCTAGCCTTGATAATAGGGGCATGGTATTGAAGTAGGCTATTGTCTGTTTTTATCTACAATTTAGAAATTTGACATAATTAGTATTATAAGCAAACCATTCTTTCAGAAGAATGGTGAATGAACACAACTTGTTGACAGTGTTTCTAAATAGTTTTTAAAAAAAGATCAGTATTTTTTGTGTTTTTGAAGTTTTGAGCTACCATCACTTTATGTAACAAAGGCCACTTTGTATTAATTCCACTTATACTTAAATGTTGTCTACAGATGATGCGATTAAGACCTATGTACATTTACTCAATTACTGTCCTTGAGTATTAATTTGAGGCATTGTACTTTACTTGAGTCCACTACCTTCATTTGACAGCTTAAATATAAATATAAATTAAACTACCCAACAGTATATAGTGCAGCTTAAACGATTAGTTGATTAATCAATTAGTTGATTGACAGAAAATTATTTAATTTTTTCATGCAAAAACATTTGATGGTTTCCAGCTTCACAAATGTAAGCGTATGATGCTTTTCCTTTTAATTATTTACATTTATTTTTAATAATTTTGACGTGTGGACAAAACAGGTATTGAATGATGAAGATGATGAAGGTGTCACTTAAGGATCTGTGGAATTTCTACAAATCGAAAAATAAGTCAATTAAAAATATTAATGCAGTAACAGGGCAATCTTCCTGAGTACTATTAAAGTACATTTGCTATACTTCTATACTTTTACTCAACTCAAAAGTTTCCATTTATTAAAAA